ACAATTACTGAGTTCGTATACTCATATGCAAATGAATATTGGTATTGATAGTTGAGAAATGTTGTGTCCAAGTATTCGTCTCATGATGACAAATCAAAACCGCCGATAAAAATCAGTCAAACACGAAAATATTTAAGAAATACAACGTTTTAAAAGAAGTTTCAGGTTTTAAAAGTGTTTTTAGGTAATACACAAACAACAGCCACAACTTCCACATCACTGTTCGGTCAAACAAAACCGTTGTTTGGCTCGTCAACCACGAATCCAGCCCAACCGAATGCATTCGGCGGAGGTACCACATCAATTTTCGGCTCAACACAACCTACAACTCAGTCCGGAAGTTTATTTTCAACTGGTTTTGGAGGTTAGTTCTGTTATAATGAAATTTTTTTGGCCTTTCAAGTTTGATTGCAAACCGTGAGTTATAGTTGTAAACAAGTGTTCTTTCTTCAATGTACCCAACTTGTGTTCCTCTTTTCGAATGTGTTAATGGATGAAAATAAATTCAGCGAATACCCAAATGGGCACAACAATAAAATTTGAACCACCAACTGCATCGGACACAATGCTACGNGTTCATTCGTTCATTTAATGCTTCATTCAATTCGTTTCATTTATTCATTGTCCAATTCGAAAGTGACATTAACCAAGAATAATAGTGCTAGTGATGAATATCCATCACGGCTGAGACATTAATGAAACTATATGGGAATGTACGATTAATGATGATTGAATTAAGGAATTGCGTTGTGAAGACTATATAGCAAATCGACGTGGTGCAACAACGGGTGGAGGCTTAACGTTTGGTCAGACGCAGCCAACAACATCAACTTCGTTGTTCGGTGGTAATACAGCCACCACACAATCATCTTTATTTGGTGCACAGAATAAATCGCTTTTTGGAGGTTGTTTTTGGAGATGTTCATTTTGTTTTTGGTGCTATGTCCTGTTATCTTGAGACGTAAACATGATGTTGGTTCAGTAATCTGTTTACTCAGAAGTTTTGATATTCGCAAGACTAATTAATGAAAATATCAGTAGTTTTATTTTAATAGTTATGGATATGACAGTAATAGTTGTAGTGACAACGAATG